AGTCTAATTAGTGCTGCCCATATATGGGTGTGAGGCCCTCCACTGGAACAGCCCACCAGAGGTTACACCCATGCAAAAAACAACTCTCCCTCCCCTAGCAGCTGTAAGTATCAATAGCTATTCAGGGAGCTAACTGGGAAGCACTTTTAAAGCATTAGGTTTGGTTTTTGTGCCCCCGCCCCCCCCAGAATGCTAGAATGTTGACTGGCTTGATCTGCAGGCAACCACTGATGCTCTTAGTTTGTGAAAGCAGTGATCCTGTCATGACCAGAAGACACTGTTTCACTCCAGCCCTCCTCTACCATTGGATTTTTTGATAAATGGATGATAAGTGTCTTATGGGGCTGCTGTAGTGAGATGCATGTGCATTTGGGGGAGGGAAATTTGTCCAGCTGTTCATCTCTTTTCTCACTCTTAGATTAAATATCCTTGAATATACTTCAAGCCCTCAAGTTGCTATTGCGCATCAATCTTTATTTTTACTTATTCATTTATATTTATTTTTAGGCTAGCATATAGTTTCATCATGACATATACACACATGCATGTATTTGAATTATGTTATAATTTACATAACCATTTAGTTATATCATTTATACATAAATCTACATACTTCTAAACTGAAGTATATTTGCCTCTTAGAAATTAATATCACTTTGTTCTTAAGTTCTTCCTAGAAAATTAGCCAGACTTTCTGTAAAATTAGTGTAGACATTGGGCATAATTCTATCTGATTTTTGTGTGTTTGGCTTGACACTTGTTAAAGAAAAATGAGTCCATGCCTACCCATGTCACAGAGAAATCCATACTGCTTCTGCTCAGCTCCACCTAAGCATGGGGGCAGGCTTTTCAAGTTTGGTCTCTACTCAAGACATCTAAGTATTGGTGACGCTCTTCTTTCATGGCTATGTGTCCCCAGAAGCTCCATGGTGATCATTCTCAGATGGTATTAGTGGAGGAAACGACACAGAATCCTTCTTTCTCCTCATTTGCATGATGGGAATTTTGAATCTCAGTCTTTTTTTGAGAAGGCTTCTTCTCCAATCTAGTTATCCTCTTCCCTTTCCCCAGACCTGGGCTTTGTCCTTAAAGGAGAAAAACTAAGGTTTTCATATTCATTGACTGTTTTTTTCCCTTCTTCTTCAGGGTGGGCTGAGATTGGTGTAATTGTGCTTGAGGTAAAAATTAGACAAGTGGGAAAGTCAAATAAACCAAGTGATGTTTGACTGATATTTCAGGACAGGCACACCATGTTCGCATTAATGTTCAACATTACCCATGAGGCAAGAATATACACACATGCATAAAAGTATACATTTGGTAATAATGTAACTTAATGTATGATGATTTAGAAGAAATTTCAGTTTTTACAACACTCAGTTATGTTAAACACATTTAGTGGCACAGAGATTGGGTTGAAGTAACACCAATCTCATCATAAAAGCTAATGATTCTTTAAAACATCAGTGAATATATTGTCATTTCTATACTCAATTTTATGACATAAAATTAGCAAAAAAATTACTCTGTTTCAGGTCTGGTTCTAAACTAGTTTTTACTTTAGTAAATATTGTCTCCATTATAGGAAATCATTTAAGAAGATGGGAAATTCTAGTATAAAGTTAAAAGGTCTTTGATTTCTTACTGAGCTTTATCTTATTTTCTCTTTTTTGTAGACACACTTTGCTGGTGAAATTAAAAAAATTTCTAGAACAGAAAAATGTTGTATATCTTTGAATTGTTTTTTTTTTTTTATGCAGTGCAATTAGAGTGTCATAATACCAGGCTATTAGTTCAGATAAAATTCTTTTTAAAAAATATTTTATTTTATTTTATGTGTATATGTCTGTGTGTGCATGTGCGTGCATACATGTATGTATGCGCACATGAGCTGTCTGCTATGGTACCTATATGGAAGTCAGAGAACAACTTCATGGGTTTGGGTCTCTCTCACTATGGGTTCTGGGGACTAAACTCAAGCCAGCAGGCTCTTCTGGAAAGCATTTTTTTTTTTTTTTTTTTTTTTTTTTTACACAAAGTGCTACCAAACAGTTAAACACAGAAGAGCCATCTGGAAAGCACTTTTACCCACTGAGCCATCTCACTGGCTCTGATACAGAGAAACTTCTTGTGTTTATTGAAAATAGATTGTATCCTGGAATGTTAGGCTGGAACTCATTTAGACAAATTTCTTATAATTTGAAGACCAGTAGGCTTAAATCAATTTTCTATCCAGTTCTACTTCATATGTAAATAAATTCACACATTTGCATGCATGTGTCTATGTACATATTCATATACATAAATATCTGTTTTCATTTGTACTTGTATAGTTTGCATTACAAATTACATAGTTTAAATGCATATGACATATGCTAAATTATCATAATTATTTTTAAATATAGTTTTTACTCTATTAAAAGTGATTAACTTTTAAATGCTCAGTATTTATGGGTATTTTTTATTAGTAAATGACTACTGAAATTTTGAAGACCTATGACAATTTATAATTCTCTTACTTGTTCAACCAGGTCTTGGAGAAGGGCCGTACATGATGGCAAGTTATGGGCAGACTGGCCTTGTTTTAGGTGCCAATATGACCAGCAGAAGCATTTTCTCTTTGCCAAGAAGTAGTGTTCATGGCAATTTATTTTTTAATTTTATGATCACTCCAGGCCTTTTCAAAGAGAAGACATCATGTAAGTATAATTGAAAATGTAAATTTAGTTATTCATGAACAATTCAGCAAGTATTAATTGGAAATCTTATATGCTATAACCTTTTATTAATTCACCAGAGAATTTTTAAAATTCCCTTCGACATTTGAAGCAGCTGCCTAATATATAAAATCATTTGCTTATCTATTGGCATTGTTATATTAGCACTGAAAATATTTGGGTTTTTGGTGATAAGAAAGTCACAAATTCAATTTTTATACTATGAACCACAGAACTTGCTTTGTAATTTTTGAAAGACAATCAAGTAATTCCTAGAATTTAAAGATTTTAATGTCAGATTAATGTGAAAGAGAAGAATTTGACTTGACATCAGATAAGTTGAGTATAAGGTGTATGTATCGTAGTGTAGACAGGCACTGAAATGGTCTTTTATGCCATTTGATCTTGTCTGTCCTGGCTCACAGATGTCCAGGTGCTAGAACCCAGCCTGAGTTTATTGGCTTGAACTAGCAACTGGTATAAAAATGTCTGGTACCTGCTCTGGGTGCCTTTTCTTGGCCATTGGTACCAAGCTATATTTTCACTATACAGACTATGTAGAATCATGCTTCTTCTAAAAGTTCAGGAAAGAAAAAAAACCCGCTCTGGAATAAGTTAACCTGGTACAACTCTTACTTTTCTGAGAAGTCTGCAAATTTTCTAGTTTAACTATATATATTCTTTCTGGTAAAATGAACCCTCTGTGTTCTGAAAATATCAATCAGTCTGGTTTATTTTATGCTCGTTACATATGCTTTTCCTCATACAACATTTTTTATTTTATTCATTTTTCATTCTTTCAAGGGACTTGCAAGACTTTAGGACAAAACAAAAGCCTTTGGAAACGTTGAAGTTGATAGAGTTCTTGATTTTATGATTTATAGTAACTGTCTTAAAAGAAAGATAGTGTTTGCTGAATAAAATCAACAAAAATACCTTAATGAGAAGCTTTTATAGCAGAAATCTCACAAATACAAAGGAAAACTTCAAAGCATATTAACAAAATAAAGATAATACTTATCCATTTCTTGGTACATTGCCCATTTGACCATGTTTTGGGAAATAGACAATAATATTGAGTGGATAACATTTTCTTGATGTAGTAAAATATCTCAGAATTATTTTTCATTAAGAACCCAGTGATATAAAAGTGTAGTTGGTCACACACTTAGCATATATATATTTATTATTATATTTATATATATTTATTTATTTTTTGGTCTTTTTGAGACAGGGTCTCCCAGTAGCCCCAGGACTGGAGTCCCAGCTTGCCTGGAACTCACTATGTAGACCAGGCTTGGCCTTGAACTCACAGAGATCCACCTGCCTCTGCTTCCCTAGGGCTGGTATGTAAGGCATGCACTACCATGGCTGGCCCTACTTGAACCCACAGAGATCTGCTTGCCTCTGCCTCCCGAGTGCTGGGATTAAAGGTGTGTACCATACACTTAGTGTATTTTTATATTAGCTCATTCCTTTTTATCACATAACATAGTTTGTAGGTTTTATATGTGAAAACATTACAGCTTCCAAATAGAAATATGTTCAATTTATCAATTCCTTCTATGAAACTAAGTTCTGGGATCCTCTTGCTATTTCTTTTTTTCCTCCAAGGGTAAAATAAATTAATAAAAAATTGAGCTTGGTTATGATTGGTTTGGGGGGATTTTATTCTTATTCACTATATTTAAAGCTCTGCTTTTTAATTTTTGAAATATCATGATTCATTTCTGACACGTCTGAGATTGACATTAATTTTCATGACAATTACGTTTCACTATTCTTCAACTTTATAAGTGGATTTTGTGGTGCCTGTGCCAGTGATCTGCCTTCTCCAGGGAATTGTTAAAATACTGCTCTGCATTTTACAGCATTGGCTCTTGTTTCCTTGGAATCTGCTGAAAGGCCAAACTACTTTCTCTTTGTCCATGACAATGATACTCTTAGCTTGGAGCTGTGGGAGGCAAACTCAGCATTTCAACGGAGAGCAACATTCTTCCAACACCAGAGCCTCTGGATTCCTGGTTACAGTGCATTTGAATTATATAGCAAGAAAGGCTTTTTCATCGTTTTTAGAGATTCTAGTGTCAAAGCATTAAAATACGATGATTCTGAAGAATTCAAGGAGTCAAGCAGCTTCAGCATAGAAGGTCAGTTTTCTAAGAGAGCACAGATGCCTTACACTATGCAGAATGTCTAACAGAAGCTCATGTTAGTTATTTACTCTGTTTAAGTAGACAGCATTATATGGTCTTAACTAAGTACATTGATGTAAATGGCTTAGAACAATCCTCAATAACTTTAATTCCCCCTATATTGCTCTCAGTACTTTTTAGCTTTTGGCATCACGTCTTAATTCACATCTCATAAAATATGCTTTAGTGTTTGTATCTATTTTTTTCTTTCCTAGAAGGCAACTTTGGATGAATTTAATTTTTTTGGAGGGGGGGGGTCTTTTTTGAGACAGGGTCTCCCTGTAGCCCCAGCTGTTCTAGAACTCACTATGTAGATCAGGCTGGCCTTGAACTCACAGAGATCTGCCTGCCTCTGCCTCCCAAGTGCTGGGCTTAAAGGTGTGTGCCACCATGCCCGGTCAAATGAATCTAATTTTTAAAGTTACTGAAAATAGATTTATCTCTGTCTTTTGAATTCAAGAGTGTGTCTGGCGTTATTGACCACTGGAAAGTTTCCTTAACTCAGCCTAAGTCTGATATTTTTCTAAGAGAAAGCCTTCAGGGTCTGGAGCTAAGGAAATCTGGATTTCAGAAAGCAATCTTCCTCTCTTTATGTGGTGTTTAAGTCATGCTCTATTTTCAAAATCCAACAGCTTGATTTCTGCCTTAAGTCTACCAAAGGAATTGCTCCATTCTAACTGATCCCCCAAATAATTCAAGATAAGCTATTTATTTGCCTTTTCTATTGTATATGCTTCTGCAAACTTCTCTAATGGAGATTCCAAAAAACTCAACTTGAATTTCAGAAGTGCCCCTATTACATAAGTTCCTGTGTTCAAAGTTTCGAAGTATGGCAGGAGGTTTTGAAACCCAGCTTTCAGAAATCTATGTGAGTGTTCTTACTCTGGCAAGGGGCAAAAAGTGGGGACAAAGATCCCTACTGCTTCCACTACTTGCATTCTTGCAGAACATATCAGGTCAAGCAATTTTATCACTTTCCTATAGGCAATGAGCGTCTACAGAGCCTAGGATCCATAGTGAGCCAGTGTCTAATGCTTAGGAGCTGCCTAGGGAAAGTGGCATCTTGTCTCAGCATGCCTCAGATGTACTTTACCTGAGATCTCGAGCCACAGAACATTGCACTCTGGACTTTGCATTCTGGGAGCCATCCACGTCACTGAGCACAGACTTTTCAGAACACCCTGACTTGGGAAGAAGGAAGACAGGGCCTCTGATAGTTTGTCTTTCTTCTGGGACAGGACATTCTCAGAGCATTCTGTAGTTATTGTAAGAAGTGCAAGTAGTAGGTAGACAGCTGAATTAGTCAAGGTCATTGGGGTAATGTCCTCTTCCTTTGTGCTTTTGTGAAAAGTCACTAACATGCCTATATAACATTGTACAGAGTAGTGTGGTCATTCTACCTGAATTATTTGAACTTAAACTTAATAAGCCTCTATTGTCATTTCAATTCAGAGCTCTACTCTACTGGAACCAGCTCTAGCAGCCTCACTTGTGATCCAGAGAGTAACGGCCAATGGCATTTCCGCTATCTTAGACACTAATCACTGGAGGCTTCTTCCACTGAGGAAACTTTTCTGGTCTCTTCTAGCTCTGGGTCCATCTAGGCTCTGGATATACAAATGCTGTCATAAACAATTCATTTTCCTTGCCATAGTTTAGAGTTAAGGTCTGTTCCCAAGTCCCACACACATATCTACATCCTGAATTTTCTCCTTTGTAGAGTTCTCTTTTCCAAAGATAATTACAAACTGACTTAGAAGGACTTCCCTATGGCGTGGGAAGGAGAATGTATTGCTGAGTTTGCAGAGGGAAAGTCTTTAATCAAAGGCTGTTCTATAACTACAAACATGTATCATTCAAATCCACTGATTTATACTTTTGTATTCAAACAAAATTTGTTTTGTATGAGGCAATGTGCTAAGTTCTGTGTAAAGTGATGGACCATTCTCCCTAGACCTGAGGTCTTGAGACATGTTTGGTCTTGCCATTTTCCTTGTTGTTAAGTTGGTTGTTTTAAGCTCCATTAAAATTTTTTTTTTTAGATTGAAAATAACATTTTCTTAGCAAAATTTGTAGCTAGGATAAAATAGAATAAAATTACTTTATAATAATCAATATTCCTAATTACAATGCTAGAAAAATTGACAAAAACGTCACTAAATATAGGAGAAATAAAAGTCTTAAAATTGTTGGAGGCTAGGTTTACACTTATTCAACTTGAATATTACATCCTCTGGCTACCAAGCAATTGCAATGTTTTTATATTATAGTATTGTCTTTTATATCATATTATGGTGAACAAGAGGCCAATTAATACAAGGGGTTCATATTCAAATAACAGTATAAAGATTGTTACAAGTATGTTTAAAATAACCACAGACATAAAATTTCTGAGACTTCCTGAGAATACTGATTTATTGTCCCTGAATCTCAAGGAACAACATGCCAGAAATTTGAAAATACTAAGAAACTTGCTTCTTTTCACTGTTTGCTATAATTCTAAATGTACCACTGTTGCTGAATAAACAAACTTGTTTTAAAATAAAAAAAGCAATAAATAAATAAATTAAATAAGCAATAATAAAAAAATCATTAGTTTTCAAGCTGTGTATTTAAATACACATAATCTCTATTTTATTTTATTTTTCTCAGAAATCCAGGCAGCAGTGCCTTACAGGAGAATGTGTGAGTGGAGATATGAACCCTGTGCCACGCCTTGTTTCAAAACATGCAATGACCCCGAAGCCCTAGCTTGTAAATTCCTTCCACCGTAAGTAATATTTGTCCGTAAATGTGCAGATTCCAGGAGTAATAGATTCTGTTCTGAGTGAATTTTGTTTCAGGTTGGAAAGTAGCCATTCTTAAGAAAATTTGTTTATGCTATATACTAGTATATGTATTGATTTAATGTTAATCTGAAATTGCTATTGGGGCTCTATTATGTGCAAGTAATTCTGCTTGCTGTTAGGGATAGGATATGAACAGAATAGACAAAGTACCTGTCCTGGGGGTGGGGGCTACAAAACAGTGGGTTGAAACAGAAAATAGCCAAAAGTGCATACAGAGAAGTGCCATATTATTAGATGGTGCTATGTGTTATAGAGAAAATAAGGGTAGGTGAAGGAGACCAGTGTGTGTGTGTGTGTGTGTGTGTGTGTGTGTGTGTGTTGTTTAACTGGGGGTCAGGAAAGAATGCTTTGAAAAGTTGGCGTCTTATCAGAGACATGAAGAAAACCAGGGAATTTGCCCTGTGGATTTTGCAGAGGGGTCTTTTGATCTGAGACCTAAGGTGCTAAGGTCCTATGGTAGAAATGTGGTGCATTTGAAGTTCAGCAAAGTTGTTGGAGCAAAGTGAACAGAACTGAGAGAGGTAGGAACTGAGATCAGAGAATCACTGTGGCAGGCCAATCACACAGAGCCTAGTAGCATGTTGAAAGGGCTTTGTAGCTTACTGTAAGACAGATAGGCTTGATATATTTTGCACAAAGAATGGAAATGTCTATTTATGCTTAAACAGTGTTCCTTGACTATTGTGAGAAATGGATGGTGGATACGGAAGAGGAAAGGGCAGAACTTGTCAGTTATGGAGCCCAGAAGAAGGGATGTGGCCACATTGCCATCCTTGGAATCGAGTCCTGAGAGGGGATCAAATGCTGGATGTATTTTAAACTCAGGTTGATGGATTTAATATGAAATAGGAAAGAGGAGCTGAGTCCTTAAGCATGACCTCAGCCTCCACAGAGTGAAGCCATGTGAATTTGCACGGTTACAGTGTTGGTACAAAGCACCACTCTCCCCTAAAAGGAGATAAGAGACAGTGTATTCTGAAGCCGAGTGAGTGCCCATAGCTTGGGAACACTAAGGTTGCCCAAATACCATGTTACAACATTGAAATGGTTTTATAAAGTTTCTGTAGTTATAGAAAATAAAGTCACAAATAAGGGCATTTTCAAATATACTGATGGGGACATTAGGCAGGCAGGTTACAGCAAAGTGGAAACTATTTGCTATAAGCCTCTGATGACATTCCTAGCTTTGAGGGTAACGGAAGCTAGTGTGAATGTTAGTACTTTCCTGAAGGCTTTACTTGATAGTCACAAAGATATTAGGTCAGACACACAGGTAGGCTATTAAGGGAGACTAAAAGTAGCCCAACATAACTTGGCTCTGGACTGTAATATCCAGCTCTCCATGTCCAGTCATTCAGCCTTGTAGAACTTTTAGCATAGTTAAGAGTTTTTTTAGTGGCTTTTTTTCCTGGAAACTTCAGTTCACAGTAGTCAATACTCATCAGTTATCTGCTGTATCAAACCATTTGACCCTATAGAAGACAATGTTGCCCTCTGCCAAGAAAAGGGCAATATTAGGAGGAAAGGCTCAGGGGAATTTAGCTCTGAGGATATTAAACATAAGACTGAAAATTAATCATAGGCTTTGGTAGCCTGGAGACTAGGAAGAAGCTGAAGCAGAGAGTGGAAACTGCTGTTATAAATAAGGAGTTTCCTGTGAAGGAGAAAAGGAACGGATACACAGTGGGTGGAAAATTTTGGAGTCATTTTATACTAAAGAACTCTAAGCTTCTTATCTATGGTGAACACTGGTATTGTGAAATGCCCCAGGCATGGGAATAAGGGAGACCTAGGCCAACGCTAAGGAACTCTCAGTCTTTCATAAGGAGATAGAAACAAACGCTGGGCAAGGCAGCATAGTGCAGTGAGGGTTAGAGAAACAACCATAGCGCCCCAGCATTTGGATGGCGTTTCCTGGTGCTGTCCTAGGGTAATCTCATGATTGCTCTCATCAGAGAAGACCAACCTCGCAAGTCACAGAAAAGTCACTCAGCTCTCCCCAGGCCACACACTTTGTAGGGAAGGGAGATGGTCTGAACCATTGTGTCCTGTGCTTCAAGCAAGTGCTGGGGGAGTAGAGGAAGGAGGTGAAATTCCCGTTTGTTTTCTTTATATTGAAAACAATCTCGTTTCTTTTCCCCTGAAAAAGCAGCCTTTTCCATTTTGCAACTCACAGTCACCAATCTATTTCATGTCCCTTCTGGTGGCTGAAAGAAACAAGATCACAGGGGAGGAAGTGAGCAGAGGGAACAGGAAGTGAGAAGAGGACATACCCGGCCTGGCTGTTACTCAGGGAAAAATTAGCTATATTGTGAAACGGTATTTGGCACCCTTATTACTTTTTGTGGCACAGACTCTGGGGTCACAGCCCAGCTCCCCAGTGATTCTGGTGTGTTATCTTTAGTTGGCCTTTCTTTTTTTTTGGGGGGGGATGGTGGCATGGGTTGGAGTGCCTAGACAATGCAGGAGGTAATTTGTCCCTGCCAAGCTGTTTCTTATTGCCACTCATCCCTTTCTTCTGTTCCTCCCTCTATGCTGAGGTATCTGCAATTCCTGAATGTGGCCCAAGTGGACACACACACCGTGCTGAGCTTTAACCTACCCCTGTGTCCCACCTCCAAGTGCCCAATTGCACCATCATCTTGTTCCAGAAGATTTGAGTTTCTGCCACCAAACAATTACTAAAAACAAAAATATTCCAAGAAAATGAGAGTCATTCATTAGAAAAATATGCAAAGTAGCATATTGCAGAGTACAAATGTAAATACTTTTATTGTTTGGCTTTTATAAGGACTCTCTGCATCTGATGCCATATATATCATCTGGAAGCTGAGCACATTATTAGTTATATGACAAGATGAAGAGGAAGCTTCTAGGAGTGACTGTGAAGTTACTGATAAAGGATAAAATGATGGTTTTGGGACTATTTTAAGGGGATGTGTTTGGTTTTGCCTGGCACAAAATAATTATTATATAAAATGGATAATGACTTAAAGACTACTAGCTGTAGTCTTTCCAATCATCTAATAACTTTAATTTTTTTCTTGCTGCTTGATAAAGTTTACAGTAGGATTAGTTAACGTGTTATCAGTTATCAGTTAAAGTGTTATTTTTCAAGTTCACTGTGTGAAATAAGAAGTTGATCGCATATAAGCTAAGCTCATATTTTAAAGGAACCATTGTGAGTGAGGTGTTGAAGAGGTTGTTAACTATGCCTCAGTAAGCCTTGTTCAGTGGGAGAGAAAAGAGCACTGCTTGATTTTAGTGTTCCCTGGATTTACTTCACAAACACTGCCCTCTGGTGCTGATGCTGACCTATCATGTCAAAGTAGTTCATTTTTGTTCTGAACAGAAAGAATTGAGCATCTTAGTATAAATTCTTTATTAACAGATGAAGTAACTGGAAATGTTTTGAAACTATTTAAAATATTAGCATAGCCTGCTGTTGCATTGGAGAGGCAGAAAATCAGCTATTTTGCATTAATTCTCTGTGGCATCTGTCAATCTAATTGTTAGACTTGACTGTACCGGAAAAGTAACATTTCTTCCAATCAGGATAAACTGGACCTAAGCTTCAATTGGAAGGAAGGAAAATGTAATCTTAGTCAAACTTTGGCTTCATTCTTGGGGAAGAAGCATGTTCTGGATGGTCTTTCCTGGTTTGAGCTCCAAGCCTATGTCCCCAAGCCTATGGCCTCTTGAAATTTTCAAGACTGTCATTTGACTTCTGTGCCACATGCAAAAGGTGGGGATCCTTACCAAGGCCTCATACTCTGCAAATGGAAGCTGGGCTTCCTTTGGCTCATAATTACAACCGTTTCCTCCCATAGCGTTGTCATGAATTTGGACACAGATCCTGAGAACTGGGGCCCCCATTACTCCCTCTCCCTGTGTTCAAACACCTACAACCTTGTCCTGACCCACCTCTTTCATCTACGATCTCAAGTTTCCTTTCAGGGAGTTTGGGATTGAATAATAGGCAGGGAAAGCCACTGTAGATGCTATATTGTCCTATAGCCCTCTTCAGGGCAATAATAGTCAAATGGCTATTTAGAAACAGAAATAAAGGTAACAGTGTAATTGGTATAGCTTAAAAATATCAGGCCATTCCTCTACATTTCCACCCACTCATATAACATGGGTTTCATGTGCCTTTAAAGTGAGTATATATTTTAAATTTTCTGTGTTCAAATTCTGCTTGAATCATATCTCTTTATCAGCTTATGATTTTATAAATTTCCTAAGTATAATGTAGTGGTAGCAAACAGAGTTCTCCTGAGTACTTGACAAGGAGGATAAAAGAATTTTAGGGAGACTAACCTTAATTGCAAATATTAAATGCAGATTTTTAATATTTTTTTATTTCTTCTTTTCATGTAAAGAGTTGAAGGGTGCTTGCCATACTGCCCTAAACATATGATCCTTGATGAAGTGACTCTCAAATGTGTTTACCCAGAAGACTGTAAGTGTGAACTGCACTTAATTTATTTGGAAAAATGAAAAGCATGTGTATTTTATCTTCTTTAAGGCAAATGTTTGTGAACAGAACCTTTAGACAAACAGAAACTCATTTCAATCTTCCTTCTGTGGGCCTTTTTTTTCCTACTTTCTAAAACATGTGTAGCTTACTAGTCACGTCTCTCTTTGAGTTTCTGTCCTAAAACAGTTTCCTCGAAGGCAGAAGGCAAAGTACTGTATGTAAATGAGGTGGGTCTTTATTTTACGTACATACAGAGTATCTCTGTTTCTTTATAGGCATACCTGTGATTCCCACAGAGCCAGCATTAATGCCCCCAGGTAAGCTGTCATACCTGGGTTTTGGAGAATTGCTGCAAATTCACACAGTAAAATTAGCATTTTCTAATGTTGTAGGACCCCCAGACTGGGGTACCCTGTGTTCTCAGGAGGCCGCACCCCAATAACTCAGTCCTCAAACCAGAAGATGCAATAGCAAGAGGAATTTTTTTATTTCGTCTATAGACGGCCTTCCACCTTGATCAAAAGGGGAAGTCCAGATTCAGCTTAGAAGCTTGGTTATATAGACAGAAGCCACAAACCACAAACAGCAGTGGGAGGGGGCTAGTATTCAGGTCACAGCAGAAGTGCTTGGTCACAGCAGAAGTGGGAGGGGGATTTTTCAGGTATTTTTCCAGCTTAAGGAAGCATGAAAAGGTCATCTTTTCTTCTCTACAGTTAGAATTATTTTCCTTTTACTTCCTTGTACAGCTTCCCAGAATATAGCCTGGGAGACTTAGTTTCAGTTTACTTTAATCTGGGGGGCTTTGATTTGATTCCATCATTTCCCCCCTTTTTCTTGTAACAAGATTTTAATCTTAAAATCTACAGGTTTTCTGTTCTATTTAGAGCATGGTATTGCTGAGTAAGGACCAAAGCCTGAGTCACTGATAATCGGTCCCTGATGAATTGTAGCAATCTATTGAGTATACATGGTCCGAAAGTTAAAAGAAGGAGAAGAATTATTAGGGGGCCTATTAGGGTGGACACTAAGGTAGTTAACCAGGGGCTTTTATTAAACCATT